TATTCGTTAGGACCTGATCACTCGGTCACAGATCTGATAATAATGGGCAAGAATCAAAATTATTTATGTTAATCTTCCCCTCAATTCACATTATCAGAAATGGAATAACAATTAAGATACCTGGGGGTATTATGTTTAACTTATGTTTTTAATGCTTTTGCACATACGAGTTTCTTCAAAAATCTATTATTTTTTTAAATAATAACATAAGATAAATCCAGTGCGGATAAAATCAAATTTTTACCAATGCTAACATTTTGATGTTTTCTCAAATGCTTTTAACATGACCAAATTATTAGCATGGTCAAAAATTTGGTTCACCTCACATTTGTTCTGAAAATCAAGATTGTTTTATTAATGCACCAGAAATACATTTTGGTTAAATTAAGCGGCAAATGCACCATTTATGAATATGTGAATATACCTTATTTCATGTTATCAGTGTGAAGTAAGTGACCAAAAAGCGAGTGAAATAAAATATTTAAAATGATAAAAACTCCGGAGCGAAAGTACAAACGGAAAAATAAAGCAAATGCTATCGAAAAAGAACAACGTAAATAATTAGGTGATAGAATGTTTTTTTGTAAACCAGCTGGACTGATGTTAATGCGGTACGGGTAGGCAATTTTCAACCTAAAGAAGTATTATGGGAAAAACGTAGCTAAGCAACAGTATTAAATTAATTCATGATAATCGTTTTCGTTTATTTTCACAGAAGGGATGACGAATAGTGAATCGGGTCTATTAAACACTCAACATTCAACTGTAATCTTTATATAATTTATTTTCCTCACGTTTCGTCAAAATAAATTTGACCTTTTCAGAGATTTGATAAGAAGCAGAAAAGAATGATACAATTTTCTTGTATGGGCAGTCGAAAAGCAATAAATTACAATTAATGAAAAATTAACATATGATATTAATTTTCTCTTAATCGTATTTTATACCTGATTTGATTTAAATTGACTATTTTAAAAATTGAAGAAGTAGTCATGAAAAAATAAAACATATTTGTTTAAACCACAAAATACATATATTACCAAGATGATATTGTAAAGCGATTGGCAACTGCAAAGAAAACGTACATAGTATCTGGTCAGTCTGCCAATGTGGGATTAGCTCAATATGTGACGAGCGAAATGTAGACTCACTACTGGCTGAGGAATAACTGTGAGTAATCTAGCAATTTCAGTGCCATAGGCAGTAAATTTTAGTAGACAGGTATGTTTTATAGGCCAGGCTATAATATTCTCAGCTATCTAATTGATAACTCATATTATAAATACATCAGAACTTATTTTTCTTAGAAATTCACAACTCAGATCACACTGATACAAATCTTTGCTTATAAAAGGGTACCGTTTATAAACAATGGAGTGGAAAATAATTCAGTAAAAAATTACAAACTATTTACTTATAAATCAGTCGTGGCTTATACCTTTCTTAAATGGTAATAATACAAGCATTTGCGCCCTCCTCATCAAGAATTAATAAATTGTTGTGATCTAAATTTGTCCAGCGTTAAACTTAGAACTGTTTAGCGCTGGGCAAAACAAGAGACCAATTCACCTGATATGATTTAAAAACGTTACACCCTCACAATTTTCATTGCTGCGATAAAAATTAGGAAACGACCATTTTATGGAATTGCATTAAGCACTAAATGTTAAGTTCTGCTCTAATGAAAATAAAACAAAATTGGGATGGGTTGAGATTTTAAATAAACGCTTCCCTATCAAAAAATCTTCCATTGTATCGTTTTTTGCTTGTTTGTTTTTCACGAAAGAGCGAAGTAAATTACTAAGCGGAACGAGGAACGAATAGAAAAGTATACAATATCTTATTAGAATAATTCATTTTAGTAATTTTTTATTCATACTCATACCTTTAAGAACAAGAACTAAATCTCACAAACTATTGTGTGTAACAGTAGTGTATTATCTAAATTGGATCCTCAACAAGTATAATTCAAAAGAGTGAAGGCAGTACTCAACTACTTACCAATAAATTAACCTAATACTTGCAAATAAAAAAAGACGATCAAGAAGAAATATACTTCGCAAATTTAATTTCATTTCTGTTAGAACACCAAACTTGATTCAGTAATTTATAAAATTTAGATAAATAACTTGCAAAATACATATTATGAATGTTATAAATACAATTCCATCTCATCATTACCCATATGCATTTCATTGTTGAGGTATGAAATGCCTCACTAGAGGAAACTCATTTGGAGAAATAAAAAAAATAACTGCATTAGTTGAAAGTACAATTTCTGCAAAACTATTACCTATAATCCTTTACAAAACTTAATGTAGAAATAATTTTCGCGAAAATCTGAAAATTTTAGGCTGAAGAATAGAGATGAGAAAATTAATTTGTGAGATATTATTAAATTACAAATTATCTCCATTAAACCGATAGTATACATAACACATACTAACACATAAGTAAAAAAATACTTCCTTGATCAAGGTCAATTACACATGGTTTTGTGGTGACAGCATCAGCACCCTTAATGCCACCACAGGGGTCAATTATTTGTACCGAGGTATCTAATTCAGCGCAGTTGTTGTTTTGTGATTGTTAAATATTCTTTCACTGACAGTGCAACATGCCAACATTAAGTACATGGTAAAATGAGGCAGAGGTGTTTACAGTTAGTTATATTTACAGTTGGTTATATTATTCCTCAATATTTATATTTGTCTCTCTCTCTCTCTCTCTCTCTCTCTCTCTCTCTCTCTCTCTCTCTCTCTCTCTCTCTCCAGTACCTATTATAAAGTAAGGTAGAGCAATTACTGTTCATGAAGATAATTACTCCAAGAATGACAGTCATGTGAAAGCTCTAAACGAATAAGCGGTGCATTAATTTATAAATTCAATGGTACGAGTTCTAGCGGTACTGAAAGAATTTACTTCATTTCTTACGCAATAAAAAACCAACATAACTTGTGCAAATATACATTTTATACACACACTATTTTGATCTTTGTGTCATTCTGTGTCGTACAGTGCGCAAATATCGATAAAGCTATAGTGTTAATTAATACTCTTTATTATTATCGGTTGACATACGGAGAATTATGTATGTAGTACATATTCCACTTTTTAGGTAATGATTTTACTTCTGTAATTAAAAATAATTGTTATTCAACTTCTCTTCAAAAATGTAGAATGATGAAATCTATTGTTGTCGGTATCGCCATAGTATACCTTCCAAATCCTACATATTCTACTGATTAATCTTTATTGTTATAACTGATGCGTAGCAGCTAATTAATATGTAGAAACCGGCCGTGAAAGCCTACATTGTATGATGCGAGGCATAATTATAAATTAGATGATAAAACATTGTAGATTACATTTAATAAATAAAATATTATGTGTAGTATTTCTTCAGAGACATGATTTTTAGTTCTTATACTACTACATAACCTCTAACCGACTTCTACATAAGAAAATATTTTTGTGCAATTTCCATTAGTGAAACGTGTTTTTTATTGTTAGAAATGCTATTTTCGAGATTCAGACAACTTTGAAAACATATTACAAAATACATTTTAAAATATCATTTGCATTTATTCCATATCACAAAATACAAGCTATTTACTATAATATAATAAACTTATTTTCATTCCAAATTTCAATGTTTCAATGATTTCTTCCATTTTATAACATCCTTAAAAATGTGTCTGCTATTTTCTATATCAGCACGAGCGATTGTTGACGCTTTGTAGTTCATCAATATTCCGAGTTAATGACCGTCATACTTATGACAGTAATTTGTACAAACTGTCACATGCTAAATGCAGATAAATTCGGAAAAGCTTGTTCTACTTAGCCTGTGACAGCAGTCAAATTGACTTGGACAATCTAATCTGACAGGTAGGTACTCTTCCACCATTTGTTTTATAACAACAAAATTGAAAACCTGTATGAATATAAACAATCTAAATTCAAGTTCTACGTAACTCTTTTCACAACTTACATTATTAATATACCAAAACATTTTTTTCTTTCGAAATTGTCGCGCGAATTTGTATCTTCCATTCAACACAGACTCCATGTGCGTGAATGAAGTTGTGGAGTGAGAACCTGATAGCCAAGCACAACCAGACCTCGTCGCCTGACCTCAAACAACTGGCGAGAAGCATAGTGTGTGTTCACCTTCTACACACAAGTGCAAAGGCTCGGTCATGGCTCGCTAAGAAAGGAACAAGAATCGCTTCTAAATTTAAACTCTGATTTCACTTTGTAATTCATGATTTCATGTTTCGATAGCTGTTGCGAATATTCATCGCCCGGAAGTTCAGATACGTAATGCATGTGTCAGAGACAAAAATGTACATTAGAAGTTGCTCAGATTTCAAAATATCCCACAATATATACTCTGCAAAGGAATGATTTGGTCACTCTTCATCCAATATTGCGTGGTATGAAATTGCAGCGCTTTCTAATGTATGTAAATTTAACGATTTATGTTGAAACTTTCAATATTTTCATCGATATTTCTTAATGTAACAGACATAAATATGTGCACTGATACGTGCTGGATTTTGAAATTACTATGAAACATTGGTATACAAATCAATGTTAGTCTTAAATCCACGAAAAAGTTCTTAGTATAAATTTCGTTTAATATATTTGTAAATAATTCAGACGCATTAGAGTGCATATGCTTAAAACTGCTGTTATTCACTATATATATGTTTCAATACACAAATCACGAAAACACAGCGATTCTCATTGCATCTCTTCATTTGTACATCCATATAAGACACTGTCGATAGTAGCACATGTTAGAAGAAGATCGGGTGAGCGACCTGTTGTTTTTGGTTACGTGCCTGTTCGACCATAGCAGTCTCTGCTAGGCCCACATGCGCAATGTTGTGTCGCCCTCGCACACGAATGAACTGAAGTTCGCTTACCTTATCGCCTCCCGCGGGCGACGTCCCGTGTGAAGAACAGGTCACACTGCACATATCATCACACACCCACACTTCGGGAGCACGTCATTTCGAAGGAACACAACCCACAATGCTAGTGTGACGACGGCTTTGTGATGCACGCCAGCGGAGGCGGCCGACAGCGCCGCGCCGCCCGAACCTATGAACTCATACGTCTAATATACAGGTAAAGCAGTTCGCTGGGTCCCGAGGTGGGGGGAGGACGCAACTTACGTCATTGTGGCGCAAGCTGGCCTCTCGCGGCGGTATGGAGAGACTCGAGCGGAATGGCAGGTAGGCCAGCGGGTTCGGGCGAGGCGGTCGGTAGGCCTAGATAAACACAATGGGATGGGCGTAGAAAATGTTTCCTCCAGGTAGCTGTTTTTATGAGGGTTGGACGAAGCTCTTTTTGCGTTGTTGCCTTCTCGACCTGCCCGATTTTTTTACGCGCTTCGGGAAAAGATAAGTCAAAGCGCGATTAGTTTTTATCATGTAAGCCGACGTGGAGTAAAAAATCGAATATCGCCGAAGCATGTTTCCCGGTTTTGTAACAACACTAATTCAATTTGTTTTACTGCCCACATTTTATTTTCACCTTCTGAAATAACTTTTTTTAATTCCTGCATTTTCAAGGCTTTGCTTATTGAAATAAAGCTTTCTCGTTATACTCAGTGTGAAAATAGATTGAAATTGGATGTCAATTAGGGTCAATTTCTTAACATAATATTTTACAGAGTTAATTAATTTATTTCCTTGTTACTTTTAATTACCTATAATTACTATTTTTACCTCTTCAAGAATAGTCAAATCCACAGAATGTTGAGTTTCCGTATTTTTGAAATTTCCTTTTAAACGCAAATCAATATTTTCTGTAGGGAAAAAATTATGGAGCTTTACGTATCAAATCTTGTTTTCTCATTCAACATTACGTTCAATCAAGTGTTTTATGTAATAAACGAATTAAGTTTCAACGTAAGTTATTCGATTTTCATTTACTTGTAGTTCAACCATCCAAGATACGTTTGAACAAATTAATCATGTTTCAACTGTTATACTAAATGTCATGCAAATATTGCACATAACTATAGATTCTTTTAGAAGGTTTATTTCTACCTCAGCTCAACTGTTATGATAGATTCTTTAATGAACATTTTTATCATTATGAACGCAAATGAAGGATGTTGGTCGACATTGCCTTTTTGATTGTCCAATCTGAACCCAGATTTCCTTCATTTCCTTGACAGTTGTGGATGAACATCTGAATAATTTTGTTTCAGGGCAGCTAATCATTTATTGGTATAATAAAAATAAGTATCGAATATTTCGTATGTCATGCCTATATATTACGGATATTTGTATTATCATTTTGTCTCAATGATTGGTATACGTCGTACCAATTCAATAACATTAATAAATACAAGACACTATCAGTGAGTGTGTTGGCTACCACATAACTTCGGGAGAAACAAGCTAACAAGGTATAGAATGCATCTATCTCGTGTGTTATGGCCACCACTATTAACTCGTTCGGGCCCAGACTGTGTTTATTAATATTTTTGAGTGTTTTCTACGCTCTGCCCAGACGAATATGTGGCCAGTGTCCACTTTAAGAGAACCTGCGCGCCACCTTTCACTTCCCTGTGCCCGCGACCTGGACCACTGGCTCAGCAGCCCGCACTCCCTCCCCCCCTTCGCGGGCGCCTCATACCGGAAACTTTTCCAGCAGCACTGGCTCACCTAGAAAGTTATATCAGCCCATGCGCTCTTTTAAGATAGGAATTAACTATGCTTTTTTGTACCTATTACGTTATTGATAACTTGGTACTTAATTATAAATGTATGACTATTGCCCATCGACTGTCAAATTCCAATAGGTTTTCTTTATACCGGGTTTTAACCATCTAGTGGGTCTTTTCATTTCACTCATTTTTCGTTATTCGAACGAGTATTACATATAATATTATTATTATTATTATTATCGACATTCCGATATCGAATGATTCATGTAAATTCCAAAAACCTTGTTTCAAAACAAGAACTCACTGAGAGAATTCTTTATACGTAAGAAGTTGTCAGTTTTAAATAACTTTCAATTTGCCATTATTGTACATAAATACATACATTTGCATTGAGGGTATTCATCATTTAAAATATAATTATCACGAAATCAGGCGTTTCCATTATAGAAAGATGAATGAAAGTTTATAGACGTTATCATTCTTAGAAATTTCTCCTGAATGTAGGCTACACTTCGTACATCAAATTCTCTAATTACGCTGACACATGGTAAACATTTTTGTAATACTATTCAAGCAACATGGAAAACTTCTGATACGCTTGGACTTCATCAATAGAAAATAGAATAAAACAATAAACAAATTATGCATAGTGTACTACATGTTTGAATGTGCGAGGATGTCTTGAAAAAGGGCTTAGGTCGCGATTTGGCAAAATCTCCTCTACGCGGGAAAAGGATAATTTTGTTGTGAACCAAGCATAAACGTAGTTTATTGAACTTTACTATACAGCTAAGTGCCATGAAAATCTCGTAATAGATGTGCGAACTCTGAAGGAAATATGAAAAAGAGTCTATATTATCTTCAAATTGGGCAAGCCTTTCAAATTTACATTTTACAAATTAGAAGAAGGGAGAATATTATTTTCTCTACATTTTTGGTATTCGTTGTATTTTTTTCTATAAGTTGATTTTTTACCAATTTCAATCGATTGCGGCGATACCAATTTCAATCAATTGATCGATTTTTGCCGCGAAATTGTAAATATGTCTTAGAACGTCTTCCGATTAGACCAGGAACAGAGACAATGTGCATTTCTGGTTAGCTAAGAAGAGGAATTTACAAACTTCTCCTATTTTAAAACTGTATATTATGCAAACACTTTCTGTTGCATGGTTGTGAGCATTACTTGTTATCAAATGTTGCCAACATCGATCGTTGCTGCCGTTATTGATAATATAACTATGTACGAGTTATACTCGTAAAATAAAAGAGATCGTGTAGGGATTCCGAAGAAAAAAATAAGAGCACAGATCCTATTCCCTCCTCCCTCAAACGTCAAATTTTTTGGGGGTTTTTGACGCAAAGTGCATGAGTAGTATTTCAATCAATATGAATATAAATTATAAATAAATGTCTTTCAACTTTAGTAAATATAATACAATTGAGAAGTTACTCAGATGAAAATTTAATTCTGGCTAAGAGTTAGTACGTATGCGAGCTGTACTACTTATATACACATTCTAGCGACATTATTACGGAAACAAACATTACATTAGAGAAAGTTTGAGTGTAGTACAAATATTTTGTAATGAATTAAATATGACTGAGACTGTTACGCCATAAAGTTATCTGGCGAATATAGGAATCAATTTTTAAGAGTGCATCAAATGCTGGGGGTGGACTAAGAGACACGTCTCCAAGATTCCGAGGTTCAACAACAGCAAGAAGATTTAGAATGTCTTAGTTTTGAGGGAAAAGTTGTAACCCGTAATAAAACCACAAGAAAAAATAGAAGAACTTTATTATCAATTGCGGATGGCATTTTTTACCTTTTCTATTATACACTTCGACAGAGTATAAGGTATAAATGTATGTTATGATTGTATAGTTTTCTGCGTAAAATGAAATGTGACATAATATTATTGGTAAAATCTTTGACGGCGTTTACATTATATTAAATTATGTATATTACATGCATTTAAATATTGATAATTTTATGAATACTGAGTAGAAATCATCCATGAGATAGCTTCCTACGGACACGTTACTCTTGAAAAATAAAGCAAATTTACCCTTTAAGTGACATAGGTGTCTGTAGTTTCTATAACTGCTTACTTATAGAAAGGAGAATGAATGTGTTCATGCTTTAATTACAACGGTATTTAATAATTTTTCGTTTAATTTAGTAGTGAAACATTTGCTTTTAATTTCTCTTATAATGTTTCTTATGCATCTTTTTATGCTACTTAAATTGGCTATTTGTCATTTACGTCATTACACATTTTTTTCATAGTTACATTCGTAACATGTATAGATTGACACAACTACTTCAACCAAATTTTATGATCAGTTATCCTCGATCTATGCTATAAATATTGAAGTAGCCTCATGTATTTTTCTGGTTAATATCTGCATTTTTATCTTCCGGCAAATGACACTTAATTTTATTGTTATTCATATGAACAAAAAAATAAAACTTATTTCTCTGTATTGATTTGCCTTCTGAAAGTATCATGAAGATAAAACTATATTCGCGTCTTTTTCCATTGTGACTTCTTCGTATGTTTACATTTACTCGGTGGATTTATTCATTGAGTTTACGCTTACTAGTAGCATTGATCCATTGCAAAATATCGCTGCAAGTATGCAATTCTAATACAGAGACATACATAAAGGGACTTAATGAATGTTCTCAGATAAGACAACTATAAATCGATTTTATCAAATTTTATTGCATAAGAACAAAAGATTTCATACCACTAAGACACCTCAATTGTGACATAAGTCATTGATTTAAAAGAACAATAACAAAATCAAATTTAATGAATATAAATTCGAAAGTTCACTTCTGATGGAATGAACCTGAAACAACCTGCTCGCGTAGTTTAACAGAGAAAAGATAATAAATTGTAAATTTTGGAGCTTGTATTTGAAATTATGGAATGTGAGTGGTACGGTATTGAAACTAGTATTGATGAAGCACTTACCAAAGTAATAACGATAAAGGAGTTGTGGGATCAAGAATGCATGTACTACTTGAATATTACGAGGAACAGAGGCATTAATACAAAATTAGTAAGAACCATAAAATAATCACAAACATTAGTTTGCAATGTTGAAAATTAAACAGTGTATGGTCATGTTCTCTGAACATTGCATTTAGGGCAGTATCTACAGCTGTGTAACCCAGTTTCCTTTGCTACTTCGCATTTTTGTCACATATTTTGCAGTGCTACGAATGTTTGAAGACCTCTACCAGCATAATAGCGCATTTGTTTCCAGCGGTTTTACGAGAAAGAGGAAGCATTTGTATTTTACACACCCAGCACCT